AGGAGAAGGGAGAAGGAGGGGAAGGGGGGAAGGAAGGGAGAGGAGGGGAGAGGAGGGAGGGAAGCCCTCGGCCCGGAACCCTAAAGGTCTCCTCTAAAAGGTCTCCTTCGGACAAACCCTGATCTTCCAGGCCTGGCGCGGTCCCTCCAACTAGGACACAGGCACCCGCCCCTCTCTGGTCTCAGACAGAAGGCACAGCTCCCGCAGGCTGGTGAACAGTTAATCCTTCTCCCTGAGCCTCTCACTTGCCCTTTGGTTTTCTTTCTGCTCAAAACGGTTTTGAGGGAGGAAGAAAGCAGACGGAACCAGCAATTTGGTGGCAGAATTGCCCAAAATAATCTCTCTTGGGCCACCTCCTAGGGCTTTCCCAGGGCAGGTGGGCTCGGCCCCACGGGGACGTCTGGTTCTCTTCCTCTGCACCCCTGCCCTCTCCCGGTGCGCCCGCGGCCCAGGCTCCTGCCTCTGCACGCACCCAGCTCCTATCTGCTGGCAGAGCGCCGCCCATGGGCCCGCAGCACCTGCACACTGGCCTGTGGGTGGCAGAGTCCTCGGGCCCAGCGCCAGCTCCGGACCAGCCCCGAGCCGGGAGGCCAGCGCAGACAGGTCCCAGAGCTCCGCTGCCCTCAGGGCCCCAGCATGGAGCCATGCACACAGCAGGCGCTCAGCGGCTGTTTGCTGACCGCACAGACCGCTCGGTGGCCTGACTCTGCCAGGCAGACACTGGCATTCCTGCTGCCGCTTGCCCTCCCAGAGCGTCCGCCCTGTCCTCTAACAGCTCCCATCCGTGGGGGGCGCCAGCGCCAGATCACGGGGACCGGACCATGAGCGGCGTGACGCGAGTGCGGGCCACGCGGGGACCGTGCGGTCCTGCCCTGCCCGGGGCGGCCCACGCCGGCCACGCGTGGCCCTCTGCAGTTAAGTAAAGTCGCGGCTGGCCCGGGCACCGGCGCCGGAGGCCTCCATACGGGGGCACGTTTGCCCACCGTGACTCGGCGGTCCTCTCCGAACATCCGGGCACCAGTGCGGCCCCAGGGCCCCACGCACCTCGCAGCTTCTCCAGGGGGTCGTAGCAGCCCTCCTCCACGCTCGCGAAGTAGCGGCCGCAGTCGAGGAAGTAGGGCCAGGCCATGTCGATGGCGTCGAAGGCGGGCCGGCAGGCTGCCCGCAGCCCCTCGCACACGTGCCTGCAGGGCCTGCGCACCCGGCCGCCCTCGCAGCGGGGGGCCAGCACGGCGCAGCCCAGCAGCCGCAGGTCGGGGTTGCACTGGCCCTCCAGCAGGTGGTGCAGGACGCTCAGCAGGATGTACTCGGAGCTGGACTCCACCGCCTCCCGGGACCGGTGCTCCAGCAGGGTGGGGAAGGTCGTCTGGTTGTAGGCCACGTCACTGCAGGTCCGGAGCGGCATGTCCACACACGTGGCTGGGGGCAGGTGGGGTCACCGGGTCACTCGCTGCCTCCGGGACCCACACGGTCATCCGTCCTGCCCCGGCAGAGCCCCACGGGGCCAGGGCCCAGAGGGATGGGGCCCCGGCCAGGGCTCCCGGGAGGAAGCCAGAGCCCGCGGGGGACCAGACAAGGCTCCCGAGACTAACGAGGCTCCACTACGGCCTGGGGAGTGAGCCGGGGCAGGCCGCTCTGGGCCCCCACTGCAACAGCTGCAAAACGGGCATGGGAAAGCCAGCCTCGCCGAGGGGCTGCCCCATCAGGGGACGTGAAGGAAGCCAGCAGACCCTGGTTTTGCAGAAGCAGGTGCGGACCCTCCCAAACTCACAGCCCCGAGGTAAACGAGTCCCCAAAGGTGCACCCGGCTGGGAATGCCTCGTGTCTCCAGGAAAGTGGCAGATCGCGGAGTGCTTAGCTCTGGCTCAGGGCGTTGAGGACAGGGCTGGTGAAGACAGCCATGGCTCAGCCCGGCCTGACCCAGCTCTGCATCTCACAAGGGTGGGTGTCCCGGGTCCAGGGACTTTACTGTCACTGGGCATTTTCTGGTGTGATCGTTAACTCCTACCTCTCCAACCCAGTGTGGCGGGGGGCCCTTGCCTGCCCCACAGCCCTCTCCGGCACGGAGCTAAGTACACGGTCATCCCCAAGCTGCCCCTCTCTGTGCCCTCAGGAGCAACTCCCTCATGGTACAAGTGACAAGACGTTGCCACCTTTCAAAGTTTAAAAGGACAGGGTGATTTCTGCTCAGCATTTCTCTGCTCAAAATATTTTATATGTGTCGTTGGCTTTTGCATTGAGAGAATATTCCCTGCTTTTCAAAAAAGTCTAGTCCCTCCACTTAGAACACACCAGATGCCCAAATCTGGCAGGAGGGGACTTGAGAAGAAGTACCTGCTTCTGAGCTCGTCAGACCTGTCAGAGCCCACCTAATCTTCAAGCTCATCCCCTGAGGTCAGCTTTCCCTGCCTCATGTCACAGAGGGGAAGGGGCTTGCCTGGAGGTGCCCGCACGCAGCCGAAACTCAGGGAGCTCACAGGATAAAGAGCGGACATGCTGTGTACACGCGGCCACGTCGGACCCCAACCAGCCATGGGGACGAGGGGAGCAGAGATGCTTGGAAGGAGCATTTCTGGGGGAGCCTGGGACAGAGCCAGGGTGGGAAGCCCAGGCTGCACAAATAGAGGGTCCTTCCTCTTTTGTTTTGTCTCATTTCCTGCTGTTTAAGAAGGGGTTTGGATTTGAGTATTGGGCCTTGTTACTAATCACCCCTTGGGAGCTGTGGGTTCAGCTCTCTAAAGAGCTCGACGGCGCGGAGGGACCGCATCACTCCCACAAAGCAAACGTGAGAGAAGTCCATGCATCGTACCACTGTGTGCAGCCCACGGCCCGTGGCATTCACCTGGGAAGAGAAAGGACAGTGCTGTTAGGGGTGTGGACCGCGGTCATCCCATCGTCCGGGGAACACACACTAACGGTGGTGCGTGGCTGCTTCCGAGGGCAGCTCAGCACCTCCCGAGTGCTGGCCACGCACCCGGCCCTGGGCTAACACCCCACCAGCTCTGTCTCAGGGAGCTGCACCCCAACCCTCTGGTGTTGATGGAAGCCTTCTCCCCGCTCCGCAGGGGAGGAGCCTGGCTCCCGGAGAGCTGCCATGACTCGCCTAAGGAATGACAGCCAGAGCGCGGGGTGGATGCTCTGCATCCATCCGGCTCCAGAGTCTGGGGCCGCCCCGCCGTGTTTGCCAATCACCGTGGTGTAAACACCCATGCAGGGGCCTTTCCAAGCTTCTAGCAGTTGAACTAGTTCTGGCAAAATTCCCCAATATTTAACGAGCCTAACGGCTCTATCCCCACCAGTAACTTTGACCCCACGTTATTCAAAGTCCCTGGAGAGTCGGATGGGCCCCGGCTCCCCCCACCCCTTCCAGAATACTCTGCAAGAGTTGCGTTCCACCATCTCCTGAATCAGGGAGAAGAGGACCAACATGCAAAACTATCCTTGCAACCACGGGCTCCCAGGGCCCTCCTCAAGGCCCACGCAGGTAGACCCAACAGTGAGAGCCCTGGGAAAAGCCAGTAAAACCAGCCTTACTCAGTGCCACCCGGCAAGTTACCTTTCAGAAGGTCCGGGCGCTCTGGGAGCTCCAAGAAGGAGGAGCTGACTCAGAGGGACGGAAACCAGCATGAGGTTTAGAGCCTTGGCCCCAGCAGGAGTCCTGGGAGGACAGGCAGGCGGGGTGGCAGAAAGAGTGGGAAACAAAGGGGAAGGGGGTGCAGGGGGGAGCCCAGAAGAAGGCTGAAACAGAGGGAAAAGCCTGTGTTCTAATACAGTCACCTCACACAAAACCCAGACCTGACCCACGAGCCCCAAGGGAGGGAGCTTCTGGCGATGCACCATGAGATCTGGGCGCTGTGAGAACTTTCCTGAGCAAACAAACAGGAGCCCCCAGAGTGGGAGTGGGCTCTGGTCCTGCAGGGCTGGCCAGGCAGCTCCCCCTTCCAGGACCCTCTGCACATGGTTTGCCCTCTGCAGACGAGGCAACCACAGCCCCCAATCCCGCAGCAGACCGGCTCCCAGCGTCCTCATGGGATGGGGACTACAAGGCACCCCCTCGCCGCCTGGTTTCCACTCTCAAAACTGGCGACCGAGAGATCCAGGTGAATGCTTGGCTGTGTGCAGACACTCTGCAGGAACAGGCTGCTGCCCTGGGACTCGCTCTCCCTCCTCGTCCGAATAATACGGTGAGGGAGCCCAGTGCGAGCCAGGGAAGATGCCCAGCACTGGACCTAGACAGCCCTTGGTTACGGCAGGGGGACTCTGTTTTCCCCATTGCATGTGGGGTTTACTATAATCACGTGGTGGGAATAACATGAAGGTTCGGTGGGACGACCCACATTTAGTGCCCAGCACAGGACGTCGCTCGGGGTAGATGGCCCATAAATAATAGCTCCGTTACCGGTCCTGTTTTATAACACCCCTAAGACAATGAGCCAAGGGTTCCAGGCTGTCCTAAGTGGCTGGCACCACTTGGGAAAAGCAACAGGCCAGAGAATAATTATCCTTAAGTAATTTTCCTAAATAATTTTCCTAAATTTTGCTGGCTCTAATGCAGCAGAGGGCTGCAGGGTGCCCACCGTGCCCACTTCGCGTGCTGGGAACAGTGCACTGGTGGTGAGCGAGCTCGAGGACCCCGAGCAGCAAAAACCACCTGCTCCCCTCAGCAGGCAGGGGAAGGCATTTCTGGGCACCCACCCGACACTCCAAAGTCTTCGTGGTCTAACGTGTTCCCTGACCCGTGCCCACCGCCGTCTGCAGAATGAGAGGCGTGACGGGCTGAACCAATACTTGAGGGAAAAAAGGAAAGAAGAGGAAACCGACCCAGGACCCTGCTTGGGACAGTGTGCGGTTATCTGGCTGTCTCTGTAGCTAAAGGCACCGAGTTAACACCAGGAGAACGGGTAAAAGCATCAGATCCGTGCAGGGTCCCGTGCACGACGCTGACTGCTGTACCCCGGGATGCGCGCTCGGCTGACTCCCTGCCCGTGTGAGCTCGCCCAGGGGCAGATGCTGTGACTCAGAAGGTCCGCTCAGGAGCCCGAGGCCTCACGGACCCTCAAGGGCCCCTGGCTGCTCTGCCCACGCCTGCATCCGTGTGCCCGGAGTGCACTCGCCGTATGCCCGTGCCGAGCGGCAGTGGGCGAGTCTGCAGACTTGTTCAGACTCTTGGCACGCACAGGGAGCGGAAGGACTCCCGGGGCGCAGGACCCCCGCGGCCTCAGGAAAACACGCAGCGAGGAAACTGGGAGTGGACCAGCGACCCCCACATCTGCCCCCACAAAGTTACCAGGTGCCACACGAGGGGGCTGGATTTTGAGTGGATGTGAAGGGATCCCTCCTGGTTTTGAGGGGCTTCGATCTGCAGAGGAAGAAACTGAAATTCGGGCCTCAGTTTCCTCTTTTGTGCAAAGGGGTGACAACAGAGCCCATCGTGTGGGGGGGCCCAGTAAGGGCTCCACGGATGGTAGTTGGGTCACACGGGCAGAAGGAGGGCTGCCCATCGTGACCCCCATGCTTGTGGGCAGGACGTGTGGGCGGCACCTGCTGGCGTGGGCGCGGGAGCCAGCCAGGTGGGAGACGTGCTTCCTGGGGCCGCTATGACAAAGCTCCGCAAGCTGGTAGACAGACGCCGAACGTCCCGCACCGCTGGAATCAGGGGCTGGCAGGCCGGACCCTTCCGCGGGACCTGGGGGAGGGTCCTCCCCGCCTCTCCCAGCCTCTGGGCTCCCGACAACCCTGGGCCTGTGGCTGCACCCCCACCGTCACCTGCCCTTCCTGGTGGGTCTGTGTCCCAATTTGTTCCTCTCCTAAGCACACCCATCGCTGGATTTAGGGCGGCCCCGAGCCGGTGTGGCTCCCTCATGCTCTGACTGCCTGCGAAGCCCCCTTCCCAGGAAAGTCACAGCCACAGGTGTGGGGACTCCAACATTTCTTTCTGGGGACACAATTCCAGCCATGACGAGAGGCCAGCCCCAGTGTGCGCCTTCGGGGAGCTCAGGGCTGGGGTGGGGTCAAGGGAGGAGCGGGCCCTCTGGCCGCACTGAGCACTCGAAGCGGCGAGTCCCTGCCCACACCTGCTGCACAGGCAACATCCTCAACCAAATCTCAGGCTTGGTGTAAAAAAAAGAACGTAAAATACCTCATTCGTAGTTTTTAGATGGGTGACAACACGCTGAAACAAGATATTGGCTTAAATAAAATGGGTTGTTCAGGTGAATGTCACCTGCGTCTTGCGTCCTCTTTAGTGTGCCCACTAGAAAATGCAAAATTATCACGGGGCAGGCGTCCTTGGGTGTAGACGGCGCCCATCCAAGGCTGCTCCTCGGCAGCCCGCACGTGCCCGTTCCACTAAGTGACCACAAGGTGTCAGCACGTCTTCAGCGAGGGACCCAGGCTGACCTGGGGCTGGCCGGCTCCCCCCGCTCCCTCCCTCCCTCCCTCTTCAGCCGAGGTTAGGTTGTTGGTTCTGGCCAAGGACTCTTCTAACAGACAAGAAACCTGAATGAAGCCAGAGAGGTTGGGCCATCTGCCCAAGGCTACACAGCAGAGAAGAGGACTCAGGATTTGAACCCAGACCCGTCTGGCCCCTCGGAGCATGAACACTGCCTCAGCCCACAGGCTCCCCGTGGAGGCCTGGAATAAGGCAAGGGACAAGGGCGGAGGGGAGGGCCCAGGCTTGCTCTGAGGCTCCAGGACGGGTACAGTGGGGACACGGATACAGGCATCAGGTAGAGCAGCCTGGACGCAAACTGCCCGGTCCCCGCCCCGCGCCAGCCTGCCTTCTGGAAAAGCCATTCGGCTTCCAAGGACTGCACACATGGTCCTCTGTCCAGAGTGAAGATCGGACTGGAGCAAGGATTTCTCCTGGAAACAGTCACCGGTGCCGCCTCAGGGCTTCAGCCAGAGCTCCCCCCCCCACCTCCCCCCATTCCTCAAAGTGAGGAAGGAGTGGTCTGTGCCGGCATCCAGAGGAGGGGGCTGCACTTCTCCCTGGGAAAAGGACAGGTCAGGGAGGACTTCTTGGAGGAGGGGGCCATGGTCCCCGACAAGCCTATGATTCTAGACATTTCCTGGGGTCTCAGAGGTCCAGGGGACAGTCCAACCACGGCACAGTGCAAGTCCTATCCACATCCTGCCGGCACACCTGTGCACACGTTTGCACACACACACATGCACACACTCTGCCTGGGCCTTTCTGCAGCAATGGAGAGGAGGAAAGGGGTGAGGGCGAGGGCCAGAGGGGGGTGGCGAAAACCCAGACGGAGACGGAAGAAAAGGAAAGATTGGCATTGGCACATTTGAGAGGGGCATTTTGCTCCTGGCACATGGACTTGGCTGTGCCAGCACCTTCTCGGGTATCCACAAACCCCGGCCCTCGAGAGATGCCCAGACTCCTGTGCCCAAGGGGACGGAGATGTCTGCCGCTGATAAGGACCCTGAGGACAGGGGACTAGATGCACCTCCAACTCTGAATATGAGGGGAAACTGAAGCCCGCTCCAGGAGGGGCCAGAGCCCAGGACCCCAGGTCCCTGCCTCCACCCCTCACCCCACACTCGCAGGTGAGATCACACAGGCAGACGCACCCGTCCCCCTGTCCCAGAGCCCTCCAGGCACACCCACTCCCTCCCCAGGCGACCACGCCCCCTCCCAGGGGACGTGCCCCTCCCAGGCTCTCAGAGCCCATTGCTGGAGATACTGCTGTCCACATCACTGGCCTGAGGTGGCAGGGAGGGGTCAAGCGTTTGCTGCCGCCCACAGGCTGCCCCCTTCCTGGGAGGAACAGGGACCCCGGACGGCCTGTCCCCTGCGAAGTCCTGGCACCTGCTCCCTCAGACCCCACCAGCAGGCCGCCCCACCCTCTGTGCCCTGCCCCGAGGAGGACTCCCCTGGGCAGGGCACGGTGCCCCTCTGCTGCCCAGCTACCTGCTGCGCTCCGCCCTGGGGTCCAGCCTCCCTGTACCCCGAGAGCCCAGTGCCCCCCTCCCAGCGGACCACGAGTTCCAAGGTCACTGGCACGCGCTTGGGGACGTGCTCCGGGGCCAGGGGTCGCTGGGGGGCGGGGGAGGGGCCAGTTCCCGGCACGCGGCGCGCGGTGGTGGGCCTTACCGGCGGGTCCCCGAGCAAGCGGGCACCCCGGCCCGGCGG